ATAAATAAACAAAAAAAAAGAAGATGTTTATATATATTTTTTAGCTTTTCACATACGATTCTTTATTTGAACGAAAACAAAAGACATGATCAGACAAGAATATGAAAGGCGAAAATAGTGTTTATCATTTGTCAAATTATAATTGGTGAAAACACAAACTTCTCCGCTATTATATACATCACAAAAACTAGAGTTGATTAGCATGTCATTTCTTTGTATTCCAAGCTCGAATCACTCTCCTCGTTAAAAACTAGATAATATTCAAAATTATTCTTGACAATCAGGACTGTGAAATACATTTGGACGACAGGGGAAGGAGTTAGGATTTCCTAAAATCCAATGTATAATGTTGTAGGTAAAAACTACATCATAGTTAGCAACTTTTAAGACTTTGTATTTCTATCAACGTTGTTCTTTTTTGTTCTACGAGTACGAGGAGAACCATCCTTTTGCTGTAACAAAGTGAGGTTATCGGTCTTTCCTATCACAGTACAAATGCACGTTACAACTAAAACAGTAAAAACTGATGCCATATACGAGGGTTTTGGCTTGAATGAACCCCATGACAATGGTGGCCTGTCCACGCTGAGTGATGCCAATCCCTCTCCCGACTGCCTCCTCCTGCGAAATGGGCAAATGGTTAAGAAAGGCTCGTGCGTATGCAAGATGAGTTCAAGGATCGAGGAACGTTCTCTCTTTCAAATGGACGTAAGGGCATGTTTAAGATTGAAAATCAGAACTGTAGAAACGAACTGCGACTGAGGCATACCGCAATACGCCCTTTATCGACCCCCACAAGGATGCAGAATGTTTAGTCGCCTGGTTTGAAGTACTGGTTGTATGCTTGCCAAAGTTCCCATCTCGTATCCCTGAAATAAGCACGAATTTTTCCTACAGTCATAATTTAAACCTACTATGGTGTTGCAACTTGGATAGTGGTTTATAAGAGTCCCGAAAACTATACCAGTGCCTTTGGGAGCAGCTGAATGGCCTTCCCTAGATGACTTAAGTGAAGCCAGTTCTTCGACAAGGGCACGTTCCTTATCACTGTCATTAAAGTTACAATAAATTCCAACGAAGAACAGAACGGAAGGTATTGAGATATCAAACTGCATGCCAAGTTCAACTAATAAGTTTAAACTAGAGGAAAGAGGGAAGCATAACATAGTTTAAGGATTCCAACCTGATTATCTTTGGGATCAGAACATTGACAGTAAAGTGATGATCTCCTCGAGCAGAAGGTCTGTTGATGTCTGGAACCCTGCATGCGTCGCAACTTCACTGTCTCTCCAGGCTGAATTCCCAAAGGAATCTGCAGCTCTTTCAAACCTTCAACAGTTTCAACCTGAAGTTACATCACAATTTCCATGTCATACGACTTATACCAAATAAAAGAACACTGATATTCCTAGACCTTCACTAAGTGATAATGCTAGGATTAACTTTATGACGGTCCCTAAAATGGCCTCGGTATAATCAATATTGATTTTTTAGTACAGATTGAGACCATCTCTACGAATTCCAGCCTTTTCATCTACATGGAGCACTATGTAGACATCACCAGCTTTACCCCTGCCATAGTGCAGATGATAAAGATATTAGTGCAGGGCATGCCTTCATATCAAGTCTCATACAGCGAGAGTCCTGAAAAGTAAACAAATCGCGCCAATTCTAATAAGTATAACATAAAAGTGCATCTCATTGTCACCATAGATGGTCAAACGCCAAACAAATCAGCACTAGAACATAAAAGTGCACGCCATGGGTAGATCAGAAAACGTTGGTATTTATTGGAATTTGTTTCTGTCATAAAGGTTGTATGTTTTCAAACATGTTGAATTAACAAAGAACAGACATCAACAACTAGACTAAATGAGCAAAACAGATTTAACGCACATGTAAATTTAAATTGTGCATAAACCTTTTCTTATCAAAATTCCCCTCTCCTTGAATTTGCATTGTGGATCCATCATTAACACCAGCTGGGATGATCACGTTCATAGTTTTTTTTACTGCACTTGTCCATCACCACTGCATCTTTGGCAAGGATCAGTGAGTATTATACCATCACCACCACATTTTGAACAGGTTGATACCTATTAATCATAAAATATCATCTGTGAAGCATATCTCTTAGAGTGTGGTCTTGAAAAAATTATAGGAAGACTTCTATGGTGTCTGAAACTTTTTGCGTAACTGGACGTAATGCAGTTTCAATGATTTTTAATGTTATAAGCAGGTCTCTTAACCTGCAATATCGTTCCAAATGGTGTTTTCTGAGTTTTCATCAACCCTCCTCTTCCTCCACAACAGAACATGATTTTATTCCTTTGTCAGATTTAGCACCTGTTCCACCGCAGTCATCACATGTCTCAACACAAGAAACTTCAATTTCTCTCTGTACCCCGAAATGGATTCTTCAAAGCTCAAATACAGATCGCACCTGCAACATGAAAGTTAAAAGAAAAGCCTAGAAAACATAATTTATGTGCCTTCAAAACAGATTGGGAAGATCATTCAACAGTAACAGTGAAGCTACACAGTTACCGAATGTCAAGACGCTGGTTTTCCCTATTGCTGAAATTGAAGTTCATGCCTCCTGATTCACCCCTTCCACCAAAAATCCCATCTGACCCTCCAAAGAATGTATCGAAAACGTCAAATTGATCCACCTACAGAATTTTGATGATTCATTAGCATGCAGTTAAACCGGTATCTACTTCACTAGGAAAGCAACCAAAAATTACTACGTAAAATGCACTTAATTTCCCATGTCTGTATTAAACAGGTTATCTACTTCACTAGGAAAGCAACCAAATATTACAAAGTAAAATGCACTTTCTCATGTCTATATTACTGCTAAGACCAGGAAGATCTTACCCCTGATGAACCCATGTTCGAGGAATCATATTCTCCCTGTAAACCAGCTTCAACAAAGCGATCATATAGAGACCTTTTCCCGCCATCTGATAGGACCTACAAAAATGCTTCATTAGAATATGAATGAAAAACGGAGCATGGATGCATCATATGCAATACACTCTGGAAGTTCAGAAAACAACAGTCAAATCACTACATGACGATAAAATGAATGAGAAAAAATCCCATCTTTTACTGAAAACTGATGCCACAAGAAAAACAGAAATGCGAAAATGAAGGGAAAAATGACAATGCAGCATCGCTGAAGAAGAAAAACTAGAAATCGTAAATCGTAATACCTCATACGCAGCACTAATCTCTTTGAACTTGTCCTCAGCTCCACCGCCCTTGTCTGGATGATACTGTTCCAAGTTCCACCATTTCCGATATCAAATTTCCATCCAACACCAAAATGTAATTAGATTATATCATCTATATATGAGTATCATGCTTAATTGCAACACCCTTCCGGATGAAAAAACTAAATCTTTCGCTAATCGCCACTCATTCGAACATATCAAGCAGCTTTGCTTACAGCAATTGGGTTTCAACTTTCAATGCATCCAACTTACAAATTTCTGAAAAATCGTTTCTTCTGCTTCAATTTGTATGCAAATAACACGCATTGGAAAATAAACAACAGAAAGAAGTAGCTAACCTTTCGGTAGGCGGACTTGATCTCCTGCAGCGTGGCAGTTCTGAGGACGTTAAGGGTCTTATAGTAATCGGTTCCCGCGGCACTGGCGATTAACCGAGCGCCGCGCTGGGGCTTGGCGCGGAGGAAAGGAGCTGAATTGGATTTGAAGATTGGGTCTTTACTTCTGGTGAAGAATGTAGAAGCGGCGGAGCTGAGGGCGGAACAGCTCAAAGAATAGGGCGGAAGTGGAACCGCAGACTTGGGATTTGGCGGGAAATTGGAGGTGCAGGTGCAGGTGCTTTGGGTCACGGGCATACTTCGATTTTTGAGATTGAAAATTGACGGTGGAGATGGGTTATGGAGATTGGGAGGTGTTGGGGGTTTTGCAGAGGTTTTTGGGTGAAGGGATTTCCGTGAAGAAGAAGAAGAAGAAGAAGATTGTCAGACAGTCAGACGTGAGAAGGAAACATAAGTTTGGGTCCCAACTGGTAAATATTTTCGGATATGACAAACAAGATTGAGGCAAATGTGAGAATAATGAAAAGTATATAAAGACCGTTTTACCCTGATGGAGCACCAAAAATAATAGATGATAATTGACTTTCTGGGATTCATTTCTATTTTAAGATAACAACTCGCATGACATCAGGATTTTACACGTCAATGCCATCCCTGTTCCTTAGCTTATGGCGTCGTCATCTGTGACCTGTCTGATTGTGAAGTCACCGTTTTAATTCTTTATCTTTCAAACTATAACATTGGTTGTGTAGGATCCAAATACATGACATCTCATCACGTTAACAGAATTTTTAACGAAATTAGATGGCAAGCCGCAAGGGCAACATTGATGAATAAGCTAATAAATGAAGGACGGAATTGATGAGTTTAAAATATAAATGATGAAATTTATGACTTCACAATACATTAAGGATCATTTGTGATCAAAACCCTTATCATTATTATTATTATTATTTTTTTTTTGGGGTGACGGCATTGAACTGCATTCATGCCAAGGGAGGATTTCTTTTCGGATGAATAGTGTTATAGCTCGTATGTTACATGTGTGAAAGACAAGATTAATACGTCATCAAAATTCTTTTATGGTCAACCTTAATTGCTTTGTTTCTACAACAAACCGTATCACTTATTCAATTCTCTAGTTCTCTTGCTCACCACATATTGCGCATCACCACCATTTTCCCTACTATTCTAATTTTCACGGTGACAAATGCAACGTCATCGATTTTCATTCTTTGATTAAAGCGTAAACAAGTGATTTCTATAACAAAAATAAACAAAGGTGTGCGGAAATCATTTTCCTAAATATATTCACTTAGTTCGGAAATACCCAGGCCGCAACACCAAGGCATGGTTTGAAGAATCGTCATGGAATCAGTAACACAAATTATCAAAGAAATAAGATCGGCAAATTCTCAAGTTCACATTGAAAAGAATTAAGATCAATTGAATTGAAAGAATGGAATTTGTAAATCTACACGATGTTCTGTTTCTACATGTTCTTCTTCAACTACATTGTACAGTTTTGCAATCAGTCCCCGTTTTGACTACTTAAGTTGAGAAGAAACAGTCGGAGGAACACAATATGTAGAGATGCCCACAACCGCAATTCAGCGAAGGCATCCGACGTCCTCTTTCCTAATGCGAGCTCTTTATTTCGGAAAACTACTTCTTCCTCCCTACGTACACCGCTGTGGTCCGCCAAAATTTGAAAAGAAAAAACAACAAAGCTAAGACTGTGTGTCTATGTACAAGTTGTGTCTTCTTCCTCCCCTTTTGGTTGGGGCTGCATTTGTCGACAGACTAATTTCTCCAGAGCTTCCTTCATCCACCAATTTTGACATGCTTCTCTAGCTTCAGCGACTGTCATCTGCAGAATACGAAATGCATTCCAAAATTTAGAACTACTAATAAATCAATTCAGCCGACGTAACAAAATTTAGGAGAGCATACAAGCAAGCAAAATGTATCGCAATTCCACGTACCCATTCACGCTTGCGGGAACTCTTCTCGGGCCAAAGGTCCAACTGCTGCTGGACAAGCAAAGGGAACATGTACCCCTCATGAAATGTGCCCTGGCTTTTGCTCTTGTAACGCCACATTCCCAATCTAGTCTGCAAGTACATCATCCGAACAGTCGATGAGTAAATTGATTCAATTCAACTCAATGAAATTAAACTAAACTGCTACAGAACAGGATTGCTCTATTGGTATTTTGCAGATACTTACTTCAAGATGGCCAGTCACGCCGGCTTCCTCTAGCGTCTCTCTTTTCGCCGCCTCTTCAATCGACTCATCCATTTCCCAACCTCCCTGTAATCAATCACATTGCGAATGCAGAAACGTTAATGACAATCGAAAAACGAAACCAACAAACAAAAACAAATGCTTTCTAGTTTCTGTGGAAAAATGAGACAAAAGTAGTACCTTTGGGAACAACATTCCTTTCCCCTTCTGTGAACTAATCACAAGAACTTCCAATTCCTCATCAGATGAAGATCTTTCGGTTTTCCGGTATCTGTATGGAATGCATCTGCAGAATTCCCAAATAAACACAACAAAAATTAGACTACAAACATACAAAATCCCACATATGACAGCAATAATTCATTCATCTAATCTTAAAGACCGCAACTTTACCGAAAACCCAGTTGAGATTTTCTTAAATTCAAGCATTTGATCACAAAGACCGCAACTTTCACTCATTTAACAAAAACCCAATTGAGATTTTCTAAGTTTCGAGGCTCTAAGATTGAAGAATTTTGAAATAGGTCCGAAACCAAAGATGCAAATTTGAAAAAAACCACAACAGAGATATGAAACATACCCTACAACTTGGCGGCAACCTTTTTCATAGCGCTGGAATTGTCTTCCGGTCCGGGAAACTAAAGAAACCATGTTCTCAATTTGCATGGGGATGAATTCTCCACCATTTTTCTTGGAGAAAACGGGAGAATTAGAAGAATTGCAAATGTAATTCACAATACTTTTTGAGAGAAGGAGACCCATCGATTACTTCTTCAACTTTCTCTACGTGTAGATTGAAAGGAAAAAATAAAAAATACTTGGAATATTTCTTTTCTTCAAAAGAAATAGAACCCACCAATTTTAGAGGGATATAAAAAAAAACAAAACCAAATTGGTTAAATTTGGAAACTGAAATTCTAAAAAAAGATTGGCTTTAATTGTGAGCAGAGAGAAGGAGCAGGGGGGCTTTGAGAGTTTCAGTTCAAAAGCGCTTTTGTGATGGAAATTGGAGAATCTGAGTGAGTGGTGAATACTTGAGGATACGAAAGAAGTACTTCTGCGTCCTGCTTCTGCTTTTGTTTGTTGGAGATATATATAAGGGCTTCTGGAACTATAGGCCACGGCTTGTTCGTCTCGAAACGACAACGGACGCGCATGTGGTGGTGGCGGTTGACAAAGATTGTAACTTTTGCGAGCGATATTTAGAGATGGAATCCTATGTTGCTGTATTTATTGTAACTTGGTAAGCTTCTTTATCCTTTTTGGTAAATCTCTTGTTTCTTCTGTTTTCGGTTTTTGTAATTTGTTTGGTTAATTGGAGAAGTAAATCCAATCGGAGAAGTGAAAGGGATGGTAAAGATATAGTAAAAAGCAAAATAACCAAGCCACCAATAACAAAAACAAAAAATAATAATAATAAAGACAAAAAAAAAAAAAAACAAAACTTTACTAGCAAAGCTCTTAATTTTATTTGTTTTCATTAATTTGAAAAATTAATGTGTAACGTTCATTCCTTATGATAATAAAATGATAAGTTTGTTCGGTCGTTTTTAATTTGTTATTTCTCATTGTTGACGAACAAAAAATTTCTTGTTTTTCATTTTTTGAACATATATTTCACTGTATTTTAAAATAATTTAATCAAGTTGTATTCACACATCTGTCTTATTTTGCGATCAACTCTCTAGACAATAGTGGAACCAAAGTGACGGTGGTGCATGTCGAAAACATATTTATACATTTGCCTAACTATTCGTGGGTTGTAGACTTAACATACATCAATTGTTGGCTTTTTTTTTGACAACTTAAGCTTTTACTACTTAGTAGTGGTTATAACATCATACAGTGTTATTGCTCTAGACTTATTCCGTTGTGTCACTTATCTGTCTGTTTCTTTCTAGGAGCGGGATTAGGCTACGAGGGGGGAGAGATTAATTTTGACATACGATGTTGCTCAATTTTCTGATCTTTGTAGATCACCAAACTTACCTACTTTCACCAACTTTTTGCACAACTTGATTGATACACGGGAAAAGAACATGACCAACAATTGAGTCAACAACACGGGCGGTTCAGATCAGGGTGACGTTGGTGATCGAGTGAGGATGCTCTTACACCAGACACACATCAAAGCTTAATGTTATATTCAGCGATTGTGCACGCGCCAAAGCGAGAGTAGGAAGATTTTGTCAACTCTTGATTTCTGAGGAATTTAAAAATTGCATGATTGCCAGGTTAGAACAGAGAAAGTTGGGCGTGTGAAGGAGAAAAGAGGGAGGCTTCGGCTTATCTACGAATGTGTACGGACGCGTTTTAGACAACAGTTCAGTCGCTGTTGGTTTTATAAAGTTAAAAAATGTGGGGCTGACCATGAAAAACGACCGTACACGGTTTCAAAAGAAAGGACTGATGACTGAAGACAGTGCAGTGGAGTGGAGTTCGGAGGCGGAGAATCTGTTGTGTCTTCTTGTTTTGTACAATTACGGTTAAATTATGTCAATATTTTATATTATTTTTTTAGAGATAATAAGATAAAAAAAAATAGTAATATAAAATGTTAACATAACTTAACCGTGACCACATAAATAAAAAGATATAAAAGGGCACGGAAAAAAGAAGGGCAGAGAATCTGCCTCTGTGCAGTTCAGCACTCAGCAGTGATATTTTTGCCCTAATTTTTAAGAAAGTCATTGTCGCTGCCTTTCATTAGGGTTAGGGTTAGGTTATGGTGAAAGGTATTTCTCGTGTATCAAATTGGTAATTGTATATTAATAATTTGCTCTTGGTGGTTGAAACTTGAAGGGAAGGAAAGTGACCTTAAGTTTGTTAATATCATGATTATTATTTAATTTTAGGTTGGATGTCTTAAGTTGAATATAGTACTAAGACGATAATTTATTTATGTACACAATGTTTTTGTCTTTGATTTGCCAACGATGAGGGAGAATGTTGAAAATATGAAGGCCTTGTATCGTTTGATCTAAGGGTGTGTGTCTCATTATATGTATATGAGGTTTTATGTACATATATCATTTATTTGCCAATTATTTTTTAAGTTGCATGCTACAATTTATTTTAATATTGCTAAACAAATATTAATGTTTTTGCATCGCCAGAAGCCTCATGTTGAAATCCACGTGCAAACAATATAATTATCAGATCGAGCAGGCTGAGAATCTCTGCATGCAACGTGATCGATTTGTTCTCGAAGCCTCGACAGAAATTAGTAGTAAATTACTTAGTCTGAACGTACGTTTTCAAGCACGTTGAAAGGGTGGATAAATATTCAAAAAATATGTCCTGCAATTTCAGTAGTTTGAACTTTGAACACACGCACAAGAAGTTACGTGCTATTTTTGTATAATGTTAATTTAATCTTTCAACTTTCAAAGTGATTAATTAAGCTGTTAACCAACCGGCCAGTAAAATTTGTATCTGCAAAACATGCCAATAGACAACAAGGCAACTCCTCACTCACCCGATGGCAAACGTTGGGAGTCAACCTATAACTATACCCAAGTGATTAATATGTGAATATGTTTGAAACCAAGTTTATACATTAACTTGGTCCTTTTGCTTTTCTTGAATATCTAAAAATCAACGCAAAATTTTTTTCTTGGTTAACCCTAATCGTCAAATACTGAACATCGTCCTTTTCATTTGGTATCGACTCTCACTTTCTCAATTTTATTTTTATTTTTTTTATAAATCTTTTGGTCGGTCATGCTTTTACGGGACTAACATATAAGTTAATAATCTCTTTATAGTTAAACGACTTGTACGTTTTTAAGTGTACATCAACTAAGAGGAAAAACTTGTGATAGGATGCACCAACTATGTCATTTTATAAGAATTCGCTTAGTAAACTATAGTCTATTGATACTTCTATCAAAAGTGAGGTCGTGGGTAGAAATATCAGTAGACTATAGGTTTGTTGGTTAAAAGATAACCAGATAGTGAGAAGACTCATAAGCCTAGTAATAAACCAATCCTACCGAATATCTTCTCAGCAACAAGATTACTTAATCTACTCATACTTTTGTCTGCCATCTCGCTTATGATATGTTGAGGAGCTAGCTAGAGGGATCGCACAACTTGCAATGGTCCACTGGCTAGTGATGCCATTTGTGTGCACTGGTAAGGATTCATAGGGCTTTAGCTAAAAGGGACAATTAATATTTTCTATACGGTTATTAATTAGATTCCTAACTTGTGCTTTAGTAATCAAAGAAATCAAATAATTAGAATATACACATGGTGAGATCATTTAGAGTATAGGTCGGATATATCAGGCTAGGAAAACCCTACTTTTATTCAGAAAAAAAGGCGTGAAAGATATCATATAGCTAGGCTAACTAGCCAACATGCATCTTTCGAGAAATGTAAAATGAAGACTAATAGAAATTTTTGTGGTTCATGAGTCGATGAGGAGGCTGTGATTTCAAATCACCAGCAATGATAATGTCAAAATTATACAACATAAAGAATAATAATACGAGAATTACATCAAAAAGTTGTGATAGTTTACTAGCATGGGTTGACGAGGAAGAAGACGACTAAAAAAGATAGTTACGCAGCAAGTTCTGGAAAAAGATAGGGAATGCGACTTTTTAAAAGAGAGTTTTTATAGGTAGGCGTGTCCAAGTTTCCATCGTGTCTTGGTGTCTTTATCTCTTGGTGTGTCTTGTAGAATCAGTAGCTTTTCTCCCACATGCTGTCCTACGCAAGGGCCACAACGCACAAGGGATAGGCCCTTGGCCTTGGCTTGTCCGATTGTCATGCCTTTGTTCACCACAAAAGTTATTTTTTCTCAATATGATTATCTCATGTCAAGAGGGCGACCTTAGATTATAATCCCGTATCAAATCATATTGTTCTGACTGATCTTTAAGCTACCAAGTCTCCACCATCTCCCAAGGCAAGATTGCTGAGTCACAACTTCGGAGTCAACTTCTTCCTGCTAACCTAACCAATGAAAGCTCTCTATTCCTCGAGAGATTTTTCAATATGATCGGTACACGAAATGGTACACTACGTGTTATTAAACAAATAGTGGGATATATGTGCTAAAAAGTTAATAACTTCAAAAATAAAATTTCACACCATTCCTATTAAAACATATGGTATACCACTTGTGTTTCCGTCACAACTAAAAATTTCTCCTATTCCTCCAACTAGGAACCCAATTGCTCCAGGAGTCAGGACACGTGTCAACAACACAACAATGAATTCAAATCCAATATCGACCAAAGAAAATAACTTTTCCCAACTATACGCCTCTATAAAAGAAGGTGACATTTCATTTTCTGCGTAGTCGTTATTTATTACCCTAAACATATAAATTTGGAATCTTAAAACACTCTTTGCCAACTTAAGCATCGAACTCTTTGATTCATACCACGTTGGTGGCGTTTGATATACTTGTTCTTGTGAGAATGATGAACCTTGAGCTTGACAATGGAGGTTGTAGAAGAAAGAGAAGCAGAGATTGCAGAAAAGAGAAAGCACAGAACGAAGAAGTAGAGAACAATTATTTCTGTATATTTCATTCACAAACTGTCTGAATCATGGATCCGGCTTCTCTGCTCTCCCACTTCTCATACACTCTAATCCTCTTTTATTTTGTGTGATAACGGTTAAGCCACGTCAATATTTTATATTTATTTTTTTTATAGAGAATTTAAGACAAAACACGATAGTAATATAAAATGTTGACGTAACTTAATCGTAACCGCACAAATAGAAAACGATAAAAATGTATGAAAAATGGAAAAACAGAGAAACCAAGTCGCTGAATCATTACATGAGTTTCTGTTTATACTAGTTTCGTACACGTTAAGTAAACTCAATTGCAACAAGCTTAACAACTTATCACCTAATTTGACAAGTGGCAGCATCTTGACCTTTGATTTGAACATGATTTTTTTTTATGCCTTTGCAGCTCTTTCCCTCATTATAGACTGTCGAAGCACCACTACCAGCAATTGTCATTTTTGCCCTTTACGTCCTAGGCCTTTCCATTTTCATTTTATGGCATGTGATGAGTTAAGCCCATTGGCCCAGAGTATCACTTTGTAG